CCCTGTTTGCCTGAGTGCGGGGTCTTGAGTTAAGGGAGTGGACACCCCTGGCACATGTCACCAGGGGGTTTAAGTACAGCTGGGCACTGCAGGCCTCTAGATCATAACAGGTCACGAGTTGCACATGTAGCTGCAGTCATGTGGGATCTTCTGATCATCTCAACCTTGCTTGACCTAATGACGACAATGTTCATTGGAACAAGTGGGGAGGTAGAAAAAACTGGGCAGAAACAAAAAAAAATGATTAAGTGCATAAAATTGACAATGCAACCCAAAAAACAAAACAAAAAAGGCCCAAGGTCTATGAAAAACACAATATGTGACCCAGGTCACAACAGGGTGTTGGGACAAAGGTATGCTAATACCTTGAGTCCCAGTAAAATCAACTACACCACAGTATATGCAACATATACACCAGGACCAATCAATGATCACCAGATGACAAGTGAAATCAGGCTACTGAATTGAATCAATTCAGTAGCCTCATGTCACCTGCCATCAGGTGCTCATTGATTGGTCCTGGTGTTCCGCTGACAAAATCAAACAAGGATTTTCCGCTCATCCTTCCACGTGAACAATTCTATCAGAAGCAGCAGCTGTGAAGACCCGCGGCCAGAAGTAAGGCAGAAACTGCGGGTGGGTGGGCAAGCAGTAAGGCAGAAAAGGCGGGCGGGTGAGAGTTCCGTCAATATGGAAAGAGTGGGTGGGAATTCCTTCAGTACAGAAGTTGCAAAGGAGTTGGGTGGGAGGGTGGGCGGGAAGCAATCACTGCCAACATGATTGCGTTGGTGGGCTGAATCCGCGGTTATGTTGGACACTTTTACCTGATGTTACATTGGTTGCAGTGTCTGATGTAACCTGGTATTGATATTACGTCGGCACTGTGTCGCCGTTGTTTTATTTTCCATTGGAAAATGGTGATTTAGCGTTGCTGGGCATGTGGCTCAACACAACTCCCCACCGAAGTTGTGTCGAGCCTTGTGCCATCTGGCACATCTGTCAGTCAACACAATTTTGAGATCATCCGACATGAAATCAACCTCCACCAAAATGTCCAGCGACATTGGATCAGTGGAGGTTGTCTCATTGCCATTCCCCACAGACTGAATGTCAAGCCCAGTCAATGAGGCACCAGCCAGTGTCAACATAAGCTCGGATGTGTTTGACCCAACCCCACGGGGGGTCAACACATCTTTGTTGATTCAACCCTGGATGTTGTCAATTCAACACCAGGTGTAGTTGATTCAACCCCAAGTGAAGTCGACTCAGGTGTTGTTGATCCAAATTCGGTTGGCTTGGTTGGGTCAACACAAACTTGGATTGTTTTTTTTTCTTCTTTATTTTTTCTTGGACTGGACCTTTTTTTTTTCTTCTTCTTTTTCTATTTATTATTTTTATGTGTTTCATTTTCTTGTATTAAGCAATGAACATATTCTCTGGTGTACCAGGGGCTTCCAAATACACCAGAGAGGTATTGTGCTACTAATAATAAATCACAATAACTCTCTAGTGTATTTGGAAGCCCCTGGTACACCAGAGTGTATGTTCATTGCTTAATCCGAGAAAATGAAACACATAAAAATAATAAATAGAAAAAGAAGAAGAAAAAAAAGTTCCAGTCCAAGAAAAAATTAAGAAGAAAAAAAAGGTCCAATCTGAGGTTGTGTTGACCCAACCTGAGGTTGCATCGACCAAGCCAACTGCATTTGGATTGACAACACCTGGGGTTGAGTCAACCTCACTTGGGGTTGAATCAACTACACCTGGTGTTGAATCGACCACATCCAGGGTTGAATCAACAAAGATGTGTTGACCCCCCACGGGTTGGGTCAAACACATCCGAGCTTATGTTGACACTGGCTGGTGCCTCATTGACTGGGCTTGACATTTAGTCTGTGGGGACTGGCAATGAGACAACCTCCACTGATTCAATGTCGCTGGACATTTTGGTGGAGGTTGATTTCATGTTGGATGATCTCAACGTTGTGTTGACTGACAGATGTGCCAGATGGCACAAGCACCATGCCAAATTTGATGTCAAAACATTTCAGGTGACGTGAAGGGAACACCAGATTTGATTCCGTCACTACTACCTTATTTTTGATGTATGAACCTAGGTTTTCCTTTCACTTGTGAGTCAAGCCCCCTTCTGCTGTGGCCTTGCTCAGGTACCGGTTGGGCCTGATGATGCAAAGTGGATGAGCCACTGGTACACCCAGCCAAATCATAAGTCCTCCTCAGCAGTTTCTNGGCTACTGAATTGAATCAATTCAGTAGCCTCATGTCACCTGTCATCAGGTGCTTATTTATTGGTCCTGGTGCATAGTCCAATATATAGCTAGTTACACACGTGCAATTAGAGTACAGAGCTTTCCACTCTATTTATCATAACAATCTAGACCTTCAATTATATGAGATCTGGAAGATTTTGAACAATTTTTTTAACTGAATTGAGACCTGATGCATAATACAGGGTCTCCTGCATGGTGGATGCTAAAATGTAAAGAATTTCCGCAGAACATGGAACAGGGTGCGGAGCAGGGTAATCAGGGTTTTAACGGGGAAGGATTTGCAGGGTGTGTTGATAAGAGATATGATTTTCAGTCAAGTTGAGAAGGTGAAAACAAAATAATTCCCACGAGGAAAACGGGAATTCTAAACAACCAAGACTATTTATAGAGTTGCCTAGACGCGTACGCGGTTGCGTTGAATATCCTTCCACAAGTCGCGCCTATCCATTTACAACCATGTTTCTTTCTAAATACATAAACTAAACAATAAGCTGGAATTCAAAGAGAAAATAAGTTTTTGCGAGTTTCGGGGTTCGGGGTTTTTGCCTTAGAGTTGACATAAAATCTATGAAAAGTGGGACAAATACCCGGGCGGATGGGACCAGGATGAGAGGCCAGATTGAGGGTTATCCATTGGTCTAATAAGGTTTCAGAAAATGGCACCGCTTGACCCTCATCTGGCTGAGGCAAGTTTTGTCCACCAAAATAAAATTAGCTTCCACGCCGAACATCTCCTACTTTGTACGCAAGCCCCGAGGGGCGCTTGGCGCCCGCCAGGCTATACCAGGCCCGACAAGGATGGGTTTGTTGTTAAGCGACAGACTTATCAGTCAAGCGGAAGTTCCCCTCATCTTCACGTTAAAGGCATCGGAACTTGTGTCAGGTTCGGATGCAGAAGGGGCGTGTACGATGCATGTCTCAGTCACCGGAATATTAATGCCATCCAAGCGTGCAGTCAGCGCAGTTCTGCCCCCACAAAACGAGTTGCAGACCAATTCTTCCCCTCTCACAGCATGGTGCACTGGATTCCATCGCGTCTTCGCTCGGCCCTGTTTTATGCTCTGCTGGCCTCCGTGCACCTGTTCCATTGTCGGATTCCCTTCGGTGCCGCCCTGCATCAAGATCAAGGCCCGGCTCACCCAGTAGCTCCTTCTTCTATCGGCGGCGCATGGCATGCTGAGCATGGAAGTTACTATCCCCACTACAATGGTGGTTACTATTCCCCCCATGATGGCTCCCTCGTTTACCCACTGCCGCACTTGCGCGCTGGCCCCTACATCATTGATTTTCCGGAGCACTCAGCTGCTGCCGGAGCCATCCCGCCTCCGCCCAGGTTCATTCCAGTTACAACACCCTCCTCAGCAACCATGAGCTACCAAAAGTGAGTGAGTTTGACACTTCAGACCCAGCAAGGATCCTCAAAGCGGCACCAGAACTAATGGTCTTTACTATCCCTATTATAATGGTCATGACTATCCTCACGATGATAGTCGTCTAGTTTATGTACTACTCCAACCTTTGTCGGCTGGCTATTACAAAATTGAACATGCTCCGCACGCGTCCAATCATGTCTCGACTGAGGCCATCCCACCCCCACCCGTGCTCACTCCGATGGGAGTACTAATTCCAGCCGACGTCCCACATGAAATTGCTGGTCACGGCGGCGAAGTTCCACTGCATCAGCCACCTGGGCACCTCAACACTCTGCGGGCCAGTAGCGCTGCTGCTGAATCTCAATCACACTCGGGAATACGGTCACCACCAAGTCCATTTAGCACTGAAATTAAGCAAAAGATGCTTAGCAGTCACCCGTTTATACCTGCGTGAGTCACTGTGGAATAAAACTTTCCAATGTCCTGAACTACTCCATATCTTAAAATTTCGCATATCAAAATTTAACCAGTAACAGAGTCGAAAAGAATCACCAAAGCCATACCAGCTCTGTGAACAAAGACGAAAACGGAAAACAGGGGGCGGAATCTCAAGCTCCACCAAAAGACCCAGAGACTGACATTCAAGAATCGGAAAATGAACTGGCTGAGGGAGGTGCAGAGCTCAACGCCTTGAAGTTTCCCCATGAAGCAAAGGTAAGTTCAGAAATTGCGAAATCGGACGGCACTCACGACGCGGATAATCCTAGCTACCTGGCACTCGTCCGGAATGACATCCTAAGAAAGTTGGATATTAATCCTACCACGCTGGTGGTCAATGACGAGGTGCTCGAATCCAGGGAATCTGTACGCTTCTTCCTCTTCCCCGGCACGCACATTTAGACGTATTTCATGAAGTTACCCTCTATTACACCTGGATGTACACTTGAGGCTAACTTTTTCTGTCCACAAATGCCAATCTCCGAAAGCATGGTTCAAATGAAGCTCCACCGGAAAGTTTACCGGGAGCAGTGATGCCTAGACCAGAGCGAGATGAACCACCCTCCTCTAGTGATCCAGAGTCTCCAAGCTCATCCGAATCCAATGCTTCTTCACAGAAAAGCCCTCGTGGGCCGATTGAAAGCTCAACTAGAGAAGAGCCGACTGTAAAAGAGGAGCAGCCACCAACCAAAAAGCAGCAGCAGAAATCTGAAACGGTTTCGTCCAAAATAGGCCAGGCATTAGAAAAAAATGAAGAGTCTTCCCCGCGCGTCGATGAGCAAGAATACCCAAGTTTAGCATACTCAACCGCTAGAAGAAGAACAAGTCAACAGGAAGGTCAAAAAACAGGGGTGCCTCAAGAGTCTGACCGAAGCCCTGCGACCGCAAGGCTTCGTTCCTCGAGTCAAGAATCGGATTCGCCGCGAAACCCCAAAGCAACTGCAATCTCAAATTCCAAGCGCAGGGTAACTCGAGTCAGGGAATCGACCAGTGAAAACCCATTGGACATTTCGGGTGAATCAAACAGAGCGAGGTTACAAGTTCCAAATCCTTTAGCGATCCTGGACGACAAGGACTACACGGCCATCGAAAAAACTCGAATCCTCCTGGGAATACAAAAGCCCGCAAGTAGGAAGCCAGCTCCTGAACCCATGCCAAACACAGTGACTCTCCCCCAGAACAATAAACAACTAAAGAAGGAGGCTCCAACTAAGGCAAAAGATCAGAATCTCAATACTAATACAAAATTAGGTGCTAAGAAGCCTAGTAATCCACAGACCGCATCTCTGCAGACAACGGCAATGCCCGTAGTGCAAATGTCAAGTAAAAACTTGTAAGACTGACATCAACTGCACTTCTTTCTTTTAGTCATTTTTTCTGAGATGGGTGAGCATACATCTGACCTGTTGATTGAGAATCTTGACGTGCAGAGAAATTCAAGCTGGAGCAGCGACATCGAAATTAGGGGAAACCCATACCACTGAGACACTCACCACAGCTAGCAAAACGTCTTTGGTCCCCGCAGGTTCTCCCAGGGATATTGGACGTACCACCAAATTCCCTGGAGCTCCTGATGGATCCCTGGCATCGAATAACGAAGGAAAGCTGCCTGAGACTCAAGCGTCAAAGAATCGGCGGCTCGCAACAGAGGAGTCACAAACGGGATCACTATCCCCAAAAGCAATCCAAGTCTCTAAAACTGATCCACTAGTACCCTCTGGAGCTCAAAGCAGGTCTCGTGATGGAAAGTCAAGTCCCTTGAAAGGTGGTAGTCTAAATGGAATCAAAGATGACAAAGCTCGTAAGGCCACCTCAGCAAAAGAGGAAGTAAAAACATCTCCGCCACTGTACGAAAGTCCCAAATCATCGCCCTCAGTTTTGGAAATATCACGGTAAGCATACTGGTTTCTTTCTTGAACCTGAAAGCTGTTTGTGGTTGATGCTGATTTCCTTTGCGGCTCTATCCTTTTCTTACTCATTTTACGCTTTTGGAAGAACTCCAGATAAACTGGGCTCCTCCTCAGTCTCAGGAATGGAAAAAAAACCCACACATTACGCCACACTGAATACACCAGACATCAAAAATCCATCGCTCCCAACTAACAAACCGTCTTCTGCTCCCGTATCAACTCAAGCTACAACTCAAGACATTGCGAGAGATTCCAGTGATGAAAACCTTTCCGGCAACATTGGACAAGGTCATAACCATTTGATGCAAGATATGAAACGACCGAAGAAAAAAACTCGCCAAGCAGAGCGACGCCAGGACTCAAAGTTAGGACCATCAAGGCTTTCATCTTCTTCACAAAATCATAAGAGTTCCTCTTCAAATTCGTTCCACAACAATGTCTGGGAAACAATAAATGAAA